TTATTTGTGTTTTAGTACAGGGTCTACAGAGTCTCTCTATGTAGATCTCACTTTTAGTGATCCACCTGTGTTCAACCTCCCAAGAGCTGGGATTACAGGCATACACCACCATATCCAGTCTCAATTGCCATCTTAGTGCACCCCGAGGGTGGGGCCGGCATGGCACACCACCAGGGATTGAACCCTAGTCGCTGTGTCTGCCTAAACAGGCGCTTTAACCCGCTGAGCTATTTGGCCGGCCCTTGTAGAATATATTTTTAATGTCTTAAAATATTCTGTATTCCAGCTATTTGTCCCTCCCTCTCTCCACCAATCAATGAAAATCACTAATATTTTTACTGTTGCTACAGTTTTGCCCCTTTCAAAATGTCATACTGTTGGAAGCAGGCTGTGCGTAACCTTCTCAGAGTGGCTTGTTTCACTTAGTAGTATGCATTAAATTTCCTCCATGTCTTTTCAGAGTCTGAAAGCTCATTTCTTTGTATCATTGAATAGTACTCCATTGTATGTATGTGCCAAAGTTTATCCATTTATCTATTGAAAGGCATCTTGGTTCCTTCCAAATTTTGGTAATTATGTATAAAACTGCCATAAATATTGGTTCATGAGTTTTCAATGTAAGTTTTGAACTCCTTTGGCAAAGTACCAAGAAGTGCTAACGCCAGATCCTATGATAACAGCAAAGTTCAGTTTGTAAGAAACTCTGGAACTGTCTTCAGTGATGCTGTGGTATTTTGCTTTCCCAAGAGCAGGACTAAACCCTCCTGTTTCGTGTGATAGTTAATCACTGGGTCAGTTTGAGTAGGAAACATACAACTAAGTGGATTACCATAGTGCTGTGTGTGGCTGAGTGGATTTACTGAAGACAGGAGGCCCTCTGGGTGTGAGTGGTAGCGGCCAATATGCTTGTAGCCTAAATGGCATGAAAGAGGGAAAAAAGACAGAAGCCTCCCTTCAGTTTCTTCAGAGGCACTCCAGTCATCAACTTCACCTGGGACATCATGTCTGGCTTCCAGCACAGACTCCTCAGGCCTTGGACCTTTGACTAGATCCTTTTGATCTCTAGCACACAGAAAACCCTTTCACATCATCCACACTTCACTCTGCAGGTGGCCACTGTGAGCCTCCCTTGTAAATCCTTACTATTTATGTACCTTTATTAAATGTGTTTCTCTTGTGGGCACTGACTGATACACGCCACATAGCTGCCGTCATGTAGTGTTGGCAGTGCTGGATTTGGGCCATTCTAGTAGGTGTCTGGTGATATATCCTTGTTGTTTTAATCTGCATTTCCTGATGACTTACAATGTGGAAAATCTTTTCATATTTGTATTACCATCTGTGCATTTTCTTGGATGAGGTGTCTTTTAGGGCCTTTGATCCATTTTTAAGTCAGAGTGTTTATTTTTGAATTGTTGCATCTTAAGGATTCTTTGTGTATTTTGGATAACAATCTAGTACCAGATATGTCTTTCACAAACTTTTTTTCCTGTTTTTATATTGTCTTCTCATTTTCTTGACACTGTCTTTTCACAGAAGTTTTAAATTTTAATGAAGACCAGCTTATCAATTATTACCAATTGACAGTGTTTAGTACTACTGGTCATGTATGTCACAGGCCACCCTTGAATTGGCATTTCTATCATGTTTTCTCATGATTACATGCAAGCAACGTTTTGGAAAGGAAGGTCACAGAGGTAGAGTCCACTTTCACATTATACCAGGGCCAAGTGATACCTTGTGGCTTATCACTGTCAATATTAGCAATGGTTTGAGATAGTGAAGGAGCGTTTGCTGGGTATTCTCATAGTAAAGTTCCTCTTTTACATTTCTACATTTATTGGGGAAAAATCACTCTGCATAGCTCACACTTAAGGAGTAGTGTGAGTTCTGTTCTGTCTCTTTAGTCATGAAGGAACCACATAAATACTTTGAAATTCATTCTGTGTGGGAAATTTGACGTTCTCCCCCACTAATATAATTATTTATTTATTTACTTATGCATGCATGCCAGTATGAATTCATGGAAATTTTATGTATCTGTTAGATTATAATCATTTTCTTTTTTCTTTCTTGTCCTTTCCTTCCTTTCTTCCTTTTTCCCTCTTTCCTTTTTTCCTCCTGTCTTTCTTTCTTTTTTTTTTTTTTTTTTTTGTGGAACCAGGGATTGAACTCAGGCCCTTATACTTACCAGGGAAGCGCTTATTCCACTGAGCCATCTCCCTGGACCCTTTCTTTCTTTTCTAGTAAAAAGTTTAGACCTTTGAGTTCTTTTAGTTGTCCCCATCAGTGTAATTTAGTTCCTGCATTGATGCTTATAAATTGTTTATGATAATTATGTTCGTTGAAATCACTACTTCTCAGAGATGTTTTCCAATTATAGCTGGTTTTTGGATTTTGAGTCTATTGCAAGAACTTACCTCTTCTATTTATTGGGGATGAAAAGTTTCTGCCTACTTGGCCCAGCCCTATAGTATTGCTATAGGGCTTTGGTACTGGCCTATAGTATTACTCATGACCCTCAAGCGATCTGAGTCTCACCATAGAATGAGGAAGAGCTGTTTAGAACAATTAAGTCACTTTAGCTAACGTAGTACAATTTGCAATTAAAAAAAGCATCAATCACACCCATTGAAAATGACAAACTATGATAACAATTTGTTACCTTTAACCATATGAACAGGATTTGTACTTATATAGCAAAATCTGAAACAAACTAGAGAACTGTATCTAGTAAATATCCCTTCAATATGGCAATTTTACTCTCAAGAGAGAGATTTTGAAAAGGGCTGGGGTTGGGGGAATAGAGAAACAAAAGAAGAAAAAAGGATTAGAAGCAAGGCTGGAGGACAGAGAAAGATTACACAACCTTTGAGAACTGGTGAAGAAAGGAGAGAAAGAAAGAAGGAAAAACAGAAAGGAGAACAAAACAAAACAATGACAAAACTAGAATCAACATTTGCATGTATAAAAACAAGAATAAATAGTGAAGACAAAGAAAGAAATTTAAAAACTAAAATATGAAGATAAAGAAGAAAGCAAAGGGAAAAAACAGAAAAAAGAGGCACACTTCAGGACACATCTCTGCTGTCACTGGTAGACAAAGGGGGCAGACATAGCCCATATCTGTGCTTATTTATTTCCTTTGCTGGCATCATAAACTTTACATATTTGCTAGTATTAAAATTTATTTAAAACCAAATGCTTAAGAATTTTAAAAATTAAAAAAAAATTAATTTTAATTTTAAAAAAGACGCCACCAAGTTTCTTCTGTCTCACAACGATATCGCTATTCACTGTCTGGAGCAGATAAAAGGCAAATAAAAATATTTTTGTAGACTTTAGCATTTTTCTGACAATATATTATAAATATCAGTCATTGCATTTTTTATTTCAATAATCCTCATTAAACCAATAATCAATTTTCTTAACCTTATTATACTACTACACCTATAGAATCCTCATAGTATATAGTAGTATTAAAATGTCTTTTTATGGCCTTTGCAAATTTGCATCAGTTTTTGCTTAAAATTTAAAGACATATTTGTACTTAGGGCTAAAATTAGCCAGGAAGGTTTATTAAAACCAAATACAAATATAGAATATAATCAGTATTTTCAAAATGAGCTTCATCTGCCCTTCATAAGACTTGATTTTCCTTGGTCTTTAATAGAACAAGCAGTTTTATTCTACATAATCTGTTGTACAAGGACTCTCTCTATACATATGTCTGGAATTCTCTAAAACAGATAACTACAAGCTGTGTCCCTTTGTGGTTTGCAATGTCATAAGGCGCCTTGGCTTGAATGATTCATATAGAAACCACACTCACTCTGAATAGGAAACAAATTTAAAGTCCTGCATGTTTTCACCAAATGTCATTTGTCTTCATTTCTTAAGAACTATTAAGTTCTTTCTTTCTTTCTTTCTTTCTTTCTTTCTTTCTTTCTTTCTTTCTTTCTTTCTTTCTTTCTTTGTGTGTGTGTTTGTATGTGTGTCCTCCAGTGATTGGTTCTGGTTGAGTACTTGCTCATGAACACTGTTTTCAGAGAAGAACCCAGTAGCGCTTGAAGATCAGTTCCCTGGTCTGGCCTGTGGAATCTCAAGAATCACAGAATTAACAAAGGGACTCCCAAAGCTAAGTGAAGTGTCAACATACTCAGGAGTAGTCTAGACTGTTGGAATACACCAGATGAGGCATGGCACTGAAAAGTACTTGTAAGATGTTTTTGTTTTAAGCATTTTGTTTTGGTGATTTGAAAAATCCTGGGAGGTAAAGTAGCATTTCTTAGGGAACTATGTGGGGTGATTCTCACATTGGGAGGCTGAGACACTAATCCAGTTGATTTGCTCATTGGCACTCCAAGGTATGGATTTCATAAGTCCTCACATTCTCCCAAACCCTCACTGATAGTTTCTGTCTTGCAACCCCAGAGTTCCTGGCAGCTCCCCAAGAGTACTTGGGACCAAGTGCTTCTCTGATGTGGTCCACACTTTCTTTGGGGCAGGGTGCTTTTTCGTTCCCCACCCTGGAGGAAACCTGCATTGCTTAGAACTTTCCAGAAATACTACATTCCCTCTCTCACCACAGAGTATAAAATCTCCTTCCCTTGGGCGAGCTGATTACTTGTTTCTATAGTTGCAGTCTTTACATACAACTAAAGTTAATGTTTTGACTGCAGATCTGTCACAGGCCTGGCTACGGGTAAGCACTCCCAGAGTGTCCTTGGACGCTGCCTAAGTCCAGATGGAAAGAACAGGAGGGTTTAGCCCACATTCTTCTTGCTCTGAGGGAACTTTTCAACTCCTGAAAGTGGAAAAAAAATGTACAAGAAACAAGGTGAAATTCTTAGGAGAATTTTCTGAGAAAAGAACACAAAATGCCCACAATTTAGTCCAATATTCCTATCGCTATGTCTTCAGGAGCAGGTAGTTCTATGTCATTTCAGGAGTAGCAAATAGAGACTAGAATCATAATTTCAGCTGGTAAGTGACATTTAGTTCTTCTTCCCACTGACATTTACACAGGAAAATGTACAGGGTTAATGTGTGGGAAGTCTTTCAAGCTCTCCATACCTCCTGCTTCTAAGAGCTCTCATATTTATAGTGAAATACCAGGTGCAAATGACAAAGGAATCTAACCGTTTATGCACAAGCTCCTGCTGTCCAGCTGTCCGAAAAGCAAGCCGGCTGTGGGTGGACTCATCCAGTTGTTTTTCTCGGTAACTGCCTGAGTAGGTTGTCACAGAGGAATCGCACCATCGTGTCTCATTCTGCCAAGATGCTCTGGCCTTGTGTCTAATCAGATCAAATTCTTGAGAAGTTAGTGGACTAAAGGGCAGAAGAATTTGTGGAGTCAAGAACAAGAATTGTGACATAGCGATGGATGGTATGCTCTGAAGTACAAATTTTCAAACCCTCTGCATAATGAAGAACTCATTTCCTTCTATTAGCAGGAAGCCATCAATGGGCTTACCAAGCTTCAGAACTCTGACAGTTCAGAGTTCAGAAGCTTAACTCTCTCAGGTACCGTTGCCAGGCAACAAGCCACAAAATTCCATAAATGCTCCCCTCCCCCTCCACACACACATTTTTAACAAGCACATTTGTAAGTGAAATAACTTCTAGTTGGTGTTCTACCAAATATGCTGCTTTATAATCATGGTGAGAAAAATGTAACAAAATGATCTGTCTACGACTGCTATCATAAAGACATTAGTGACTCAATGACAGTGGATTTAAGAGGCAGGAATAAGACAGAAGGACAGTGCCAAGTGTGCAGTTCCTCTAAGGACCTGGTCTGTAAGTGTCTGGCAAAGAACCCAGGGTGCTTGTGATATCAACAATAGCAGGTGACTCAACAGCTTCTCATGTCACAGAGCAATGGTGCTCTTGCTGGCTGGCATTAGGACCACCCTGGGAGCCATGAAGGTGAGTAGAAGCCCAGGACCCAGGACCCAGTGCTGTAGTTTTCAATCTAGTTGGCTGGAAGAGTGCCCAGACATGGGTATTTGCTCAAAGCTTAGGCCTAGAGGATCCTCTATAGCAGCCAGGGTTAAGAAAAGGTCATAGAAAGGCCACAGAGAACCTTTCTTTGATTTGATAGCCTTCAATGTCTGTTCACAAGATCACACACACACATACACACACATGCACACGCACACACACACACACACACACAAACACACAGACATACACATACACTAATAATTACTCTAGATCTGGTAATGTGTTTGCTCTGTCACTTCTCTGGGTTAACCAACAGTTCATTGGCAAAACAAAACTTGCTTCTTGGACAATCATCCTTTCTCTTCCCTCTTCTCTCTTGGAGCAGCAACCCTCTACCCTCTGGCCACTCATGTAACCTGGGCGACCTCACCTCACCTAGAGGGATTGGTCATCACTTCCGTGAGTGGAGCCAACATTAGTGGTGAGCGTAGGTGGCTGATCAGCACGATGGAGTGTTTGATGGAAGGAGACCTCGTCCCTACTTTCAGAGGTGAATGTTTAAAGCAAAGTCCAGGAATCTGCATTTTGATATTGCTATTGTTTCTGATGCAGTCAATCTTTGAATACAGAAGATACAACTCTAGGGATTGTCTTGTAGATTTTGCTTGTTTTGTCTTCAGTGCTAGAGTTGGACCCCAGGGCCTCTGGGATGTTGGTGGAGCTCTCAATCATGAACTATGTCCTCAGCCCTCTTGAGTGAGGCTGATGCACTGCATAGTATGTTTCTCTGAGAATGAAATTATTTACAAATTCTTCTTATCTACAGTTCAAGTGAATATTTCTTAAAATGTTGAAATTTGGAGCATAAGTACCTTTGGCTTAAGGAAAAGATTAGACAGATATCTGATGATTCAATGGCTTTTTCTCAAGGAGTTGAAGGGTATTAAAAAGCTTTAAATGAGATAAAAAGAAGATGGAGATAAGAAGTGAAGGACAGGAAAGTGGGCATGCATCTAACTGCACTCCCAGCTCATAGGGAGGCTGAGGCAAGAGGATTCCAAGCTTGGACCAGCCTGGACATTGTAACAACAGACTCTTATCTCAAAAATTAAATAATAAACAAGGACTTAGGATGTCGCTCAGTGAATCCTTAAATTCAATCCCCCATAAGGAAAAAAAAAAAAAAGGAAGATGAAGAAAGAAACTGGACTGCCCCAATCCTTTCAACTTATCTGGTGTCAGGAAGCAGCTGCCCACGTACTTGTACCTTCATCTATTCAAGAAAAATGGTGGTTTTGCTTAAAGCTCTGCTAGCAATAGCTACTGTGTTGAGACAAAAAAGTAAATAACACAAATTGTGAAAGGCTATTTGTAGAAAATGCTTTTAAATTGTCTTCTATGTGGAACAAAATAAGGTCCTTTAAAGGTAAGTTATAGCATATGTGTGCCTTACCTGTCCTCTACAACACTTCCATTACATTTTCCTCCCCAAATCAGGTCTGATGTCATTTAAACAATTATAATCCCAAGAATCAAAAGTTGTGACAACTTCTGTGAAAATTTTTCCTTTTGAGTTCAGATATAATTGTGGATTAGTCAGTCTACTAGATGCGGAGCAAATCTGTTCAAAATCAGTTGGAGGGGCCAGGGATACAGTTCAGAGGCACAGCACCTGCCTGGCAAGCATGAAGTTGTGAGTTCGATTCCCTGTACAGAAACAAAAACAAAAACAAAAACCAAACATCAGTTGGACTTGCTGAACATGTGTACAACTGAGGTGGAGGGCTTGCCTAGCATGAGTGAGGCCTCGGACTTGATCTTAACACTGAAAATAATGAAGGTGTAAATGCGACAAATTTAGTTTTGTGTCACAAGCGTTCAATCTGTAAGAATTCCAGTGGCCTCCAACATGTTCTTGGTTCTCCCATTTCTTGCATATTTCCCTTCTCATGGATACTTTTATTCACCACTCACCTA